GGGCTTTCAGATCAAAAAGGGACACAACTAGAAGTTAAAGAGGGTGTGGTAACCCAGATTCTGCCAGCCCACAGTGGCCCACAGTGACACTGATCACTGCCTGAGAGACAGCCTCCTGCTGGAAAGAACCAAAGCAGTCCTTACTCAATTTGGTATTTAAAAGAGGCCATCAAATTGTAGTCCTCTTCCAAGTCCAGCACAGTCTCGACGATACTGTGATCATCAAAAGCCTGCTTGAGGCTGCCAGGCTCTGCATCTGAGGCCTTCTGAGGGCTCTCATCGGAGAGCAGAGCCCAGACCTCCTCCCTGAAGGGCGAGCCTCCGCAGCGGCCACACACACGGCTCAGTGCATTTTCAAATTCTAGCTTCCCAGCCAGTTCTTCAATAGCTCGGATGCTTGCATAGTCTTAAAAATAAGAACATCCAGCATTACAATTCCAGTGAGAGGCTCCCAAAGCCATTTCAGGCACAAGTTAAAAGCCACAAATGGGCACTCACTCTTCAGGGACTGTGCCAAGCCTGGCATTCCCGCCCTGAGGTGGGCAGGCTGCTACAGTAGGTGCCTAATTTTTAGATGGTCTTGATGCCCTCCCTCCCAGCTCCACATTTATTAAGCCCAACTACCTGCCAGTCCCCAAGGAAGGTGTAAGTGGGAGGACACAGAGATGCACAGGCTTGTCTTGGATCTCAGGGAACTCCCTGACCTGCAGGCATGACCAGACATAGTGTGAAAAAAATGCGAGTCTTTTGGGGAATCCAAATGCTTCCCGGGGCTGGCAAGGGTGTGAAAGATGGTGAGCCGAGGCAGGTGACTTCAGCTGCCCTCCTGGGACTACTGGAGGAGACTCTGTCCTCTCACATAGTGGACTGGCAGGGGTCTTGTTCTGTGGCCTAAAGTGAGTATCCTCCCACCGGGCCTCCCTTTCATCCCCACAACCTGGAGACCCTTCCAGAGACAAGAGCTTCAGGCAGCCCCCAAGGCTATGCAAGCCTTAATTAGGGGCTGTTGGTCCACTGTGCAGTGTCAGTCATTTAGAAATAGAACATACCAAAATAAATAAATTAGGTCATGCACAGTTCACACAATGTACAGATGTGTGTGTAGAAAAAAAACCTCTGACCGGATGTATAGCACTATGTTAACAGTAGCTTTCTTTGGGTACTGGAATTACAGGGGAGCTTTGGAGATCTTTCCTTCTAATCTTATGTTATCTACCCACTCCACCCTGACCCATCTTTGCCTATGTCCTTGTCTCCAGATCTAAGCTCAACCACCAAGTCCTGGGGAGCCACTGTCCCTTATGTCCAGGGTTTCACTGTAACCAGACATTTATGAAATGACCCATCAGGCTATCGGCTCCATGAGGGCTCTATGCATAGAGCCTGCCCTGGCAAAACAAATCTACCATGTAGATGAATGAGAACTAAGACAGTGGTTTTTTGCTTTGTTTTGTTTTGTTTTAAAGACACCTGCTGACTCAGGAGCCTGCAAGGAGGACCTATCCTGAGGAGAAGACAGACCTGCCCTCTGTACTCACCGATCATATCAAGCAGATCCTTTGTGACCTCTTGGCTAGAATTGCTGAGTGGCATGTTTGAGTCAACCTTCAAATCTTTCTCCATATCTTTCCTGCAACCCCCAGGTAGGAAAAAAGAAGAAGAAGAAGAAGAAGAAGAAGAAGAAGAAGAAGAAGAAGAAGAAGAGGAGGAGGAGGAGGAGGAAGAAGAAAAGGTGGAGGATTAGAGCCTCTTTCAAGAAAATATCGTGGGGAACTCAGTGTTAGATAATCTTAAAAACAAAAATACACTGGCAACTTTAAATCAGCTCCTGTGCTGTGTATACAGGACAACTGGAAACTGCTAAATCAGTGAAGTTGACTAATAACAACATCCTAATGACTCACAGGCATCACAGATAGTGCATTAATGAGTATGAATGCCCATATAACATTTGTAGAATTGAATCAACTAAATGGCTTCTTCTTTCTCTGCCTCCATGGAAGCCAAGATGGCAGGACCCTGAAGTTTCATCCCATATGGTCATCCTTTCTCCAAAGCAAGGTGCCTAAAACCAGGCAGTTTAAACCTACCAGGGAGAAGGGTGCCCGACTGGCTCAGTCAGAAGAGCATGTGACTCTTGGTCTCAGGGTGGTGAGTTCAAACCCCACGTTGGGTGTAGAGATTACTTAAATAAATAAACTTTAAAACTACCAGGGAGAAAAAAAGGCCTAGGGGACATCTTAACCCAGTGATGGCCTAAAAAACCGGTGGGGTGGGGTGGGGTGTGGGTGAAGGGAGCAAAAACAAGGATGAAGGCAGGAAGTATCCATTCAGCCTGTCCCTAGTATGGACATTGTTTCTGCAGCATAAAAAATAAAGCATTTTAGAAATCAGGTTCTCTAACATTCAGTATCCCTGTGGGACCTGCAAGGCAGTTTCTAGGACTAGTCTGATGGTCCTAGAGGGGAGGCAAAGGCAGTGCTACAAATTCGATTTAGGGACTTCAGACATTTTCAGAAATGCGATCCCCCTAACTGTAACTTTTTACACTGGCAAACTGGAATCACCTTAGGCTGTCTTTTCTCCAGTTCTCCCCATCTCCCGCAGCTCTCCAAAGCTGTCTTTCGGGTGCCCAAATGGAGGAATGCATCAATACGTTTTCCTTACTGGTCAGAGGTTTTCTTTTCGCGCATAAAGCATGTGGCTTTGCATTCATTGGGGCATGGTTTGGAGCAAAGGCAGGGCTCTCTGTCTCAGAAGCACAAGGGACTGGAGCAAAAGGAGCAGGGGAGGAGGAGCAGGCTGCCAGCGGGTGCCTCCTGCAGAGGAGCCGGTGCACAGGGAGGGGGAAGGAGAGCGGCGGCGCGGTATCCTGCTCCAGCCTCTGCTGATCTGAGCACTCCTGGGAATGACTGACACCTTCAAAGGCTCGGTCAATGGCTGCAGTCAGCTCCTTTCTGCATCTTCTCAGTTTTTCAGACATTTCCCCTAAAAGCGACCACGTCTTTATTATGTAATACATTGTAAATGCACAGAGCTTCATGAGTATAACGTTACAGATGAAGTTGCAAACCACCCCTGAAAGGCGCATCTCCTGGAGCTTGATCCACGCCACAGGGCAGAGGCCACAGTAACCCACACTCCAGGTGTGGGGGGCCGGGGGGGGGGGGCTTCCTCCCGTGCGGCGGGTGTGGCCCTTGATTCTCGGGAGGAACCTGCAATCTGCCGGGAGCCCCAGGGACGCCCGGACCCGCCTCCCCCGGCTCCCGGCCCGCCCGCCCCTGCCGCCCGTCCAGTCATCTCCGCGGCCCCCTCGGCCCTCGCCAGCAGCCCGCAGCCGGCCCTTGGGCGAAGGTCCGAAGCCACGTCCTCACCCAGCAACGCCGCCACACCGCCACCCCCGCCAACGGTCGCCGCGCGTGCACGAGAACGGCGCTCCCGCTCCAAGGTTAAAGGTCAGACAAGAATGCCGGGACGACCACCTAGTTCTTTAAACCCATGGGGCCCAAAGGGGAAGCGAGCTAGCGGGATCCCCGCCTCCCTCCCCCCAGCGAGCCCAATGAGGACTGCGGGCGGGATGGTCTGGGGCTGGGGGGCGGGGTGTGGAGGGGGGCGGGGGGAAGGACCGCCCAGAAGCCGCTGCAGGGGCGATCTCCTTTCTTACCAAAGTTGGCAAGAAGGGAAAGATTCCTGTTCTCCAGCTGACATGGAGAGAAACCGGATGGGCCACCGTACCCAGCAGTTTTGTGAACCGACTTCTTTTAAGTGAGATCTAATAAAAGCTCCACACCGTATCCAACGGTCTCAATTCATCAAGGATGGTGAGGGACGTAACAGAACTGCTAGGTTCCACACGAGATTGCAGGGCAGGAGACCCCAACACCAATTCTTTTCATTTCATTAGGGGGAAGAAAGATGGAAATTCCAAGATGGCTCAAAGGGACACAGAAACGGGCTTCAGTGGCTAATTTTGAGGGAATTACAAACCCATCTCAGTGCACAGCAAGGGAGAAGGGGACAATATCAAGTGAACTTGAGGCTTGGTTTACTGCGGGCAGACTGCTGGGGTGACCAGTAATCAGCACCAGAATAAGAAAATCCAGGAGCTCAGGGCAGCCTCCTGCATGTCTGTCTTCACGGCCACCATACTCCATTACTGTTCCTCTCCATTCTTTGGAATTCACAGGACTTACTCCACTGTGCACCCCCACCCCCTACTTTGCAGCTCCACAGGTCTTACGAGAAATTTCTCACCACCTGCATAAAAAGAAAAATAATTCAGCCTCTTGACATAACCCTTCTGAGCAAACAGGGTCTTTTCTTTTTTTTTTTTTTTTCTTCTGCTCATAAAAGGGAATTTCCTCATCTGGTTTTTAGACTAGAAGTCTCCAGAGTGTCAAAGCTGTTCTCCTGGGGGATTACACTGGTGCTGTGGGGTGGCAGAGTCACGGAGACAGCATCAGTTGGTGTCCATGCTGCAAGCCTCATCGTCCCCCATGCCCTGCTGTGAGCTGCTTGGGCTTGTCCCTCCCTCAGAGGATCCAGAAAAACTGATGAGTGAAGGTGTCTTATAAAATTCATCATCTCGACGTTGGTAAAATAGCACGTAAGCTGCTTTTGTCTAAAACACAAGAGGGGAAAAGTTCATTCACTGGTTGGAATTACCACCCATTCTCCCCAGCTTTTCTCTCACTGTTCAAAACCCACTCTCAGGCATCTGCCATTGTGCCCTATGCATCCATGCACAGAGGCAACCATGAAGGTGACTGTGCCCAGAGTGGGGAAAGGCCAGTGCCCTATGATAAAACCCAGACAAGAGTCCAGCTTCTCATTTAGGAAGCGTCCCAGAAGGAATGGCAGTCAATTCTTTCTCCACCACACCCAGCTCCCACTGTCACATCAGGATGACCAAATAACCAACCAGCCCAGGAGACTCTACCCATAAAGGTAAGATGAGGAACCAAGTATTAGAGCCTACTCACCACTATTTGATCCTCGGAGGCCAGGGACACATTGCTATCATCAAAATAATACCATTTCCCATTCAGTTTGTTCTTCGCGTATGCGGTGTCTGCCAAGTCAACAAGAAAATACCTCTAGCAATCACCAGAGAACTAATCTGGCTAGTTTATTGCACTGAACAATAAAACTCTAAAAAAATGAAACAATATTCTCACTCATATGTGGAATTTAAGAAACTTAATAGAAGACCATGGGGGAAGGGAAGGAAAAAATAAGTTACAAACAGAGAGAGGCAAACCGTAAGAGACTCTTAAATATAAACAACAAACTGAGGGTTGATGGGGTGTGTGTCGGGGGGGGTAGGGAGGGAAAATGGGTGATGGGCATCAAGGAGGGCACTTGTTGGGATGAGCACTGGGTGTTGTATGTAAGTGATGAATCATGGGAATCTATCCCCGAAACCGAGAGCACACTGTACACTCTGTATGTTAGCTAACTTGACAATAAATTGTATTTAAAAAAAATGAATAAAACAAAACAAAGACCCTGAAATTAAATTTATAGGTAACAACCAAAAGTCAACTACTTTTTTTGAAATCTATTCTTTCTCAAAAAGGCTCTGAAAGGGTAAAAACAGAGTCATCAGGGACCAAGGCTTTAAACTGTAATTTTGGAGGGTATCTGGGTGGCTCAGTTGGTTAAGCTTCTGACTTCAGCTCAGGTCATGATGGGTTCAAGCCCCGCATCAGGCTGAGTGTGGACAGCTCAGAGCCTGGAGCCTGCTTCTGTCTGTCTGTCTGTCTGTCTCTCCTCCACCCCGCCCCCTCCCCACACTACTTGTACTCTCTCTCAAAATTAAAACATTAAGCAATTTTTTATTAAAAAAAATAATAATAATAGGGGTGCCTGGGTGGCTCAGTCAGTTAAGCATCTGACTTCGGCTCAGGTCATGATCTCATGGTTCACGAGTTTGAGTCCCATGTCGGGCCCTTTGCTGACAGCTCACAGCCTGGAGCCTGCTTTAGATTCTGTGTCTCCCTCTCTCTTTGCCCCTCTCCGCCTCATGCTTTGTCTCTCAAAAATAAATAAATGTAAAAAAAAAAAAAATTTTTTTTTTAAACCTGTAATTTGGGGAAACTAATCCAAAAAAATAGAGAAACCCAGTATTAATCTTCAGGATGGCTGTTAAACCATAGCCAAGGGACCCATAAAAGAAGCTGATACTTTTAAGATTTAAGTAAAAATCGCTCTCCCCAACTTGGTTCAGGGAGATGGCTACTACTGCCTCTTCCGGCCTCTTAGAGCCTCTGGGGTAATCCCAGTGAGGGACACTGGGTTTGCAGAGCTGGGATGTGGACAAGATGACTCACAGTTTCAGAGAAAGATCAATCTGAGTCCAAGCTGGTGGCTGGATAACAATGCCTCACGGTGATCTAAGCATTTACCACAGCCAACACTTCCTGTCTTGATTTTATACTATTCCCCAGCAGGATGTGTTTACAACAGCAATCCCAGCAGCAATGACCAATTCCCAGACTCTATGAAATGACAGACTCTAACGGAGGACTGGTTACTAGTCTCCAACCGCCGCGTGACTTTGGGCCAGCCGTTTAGCTATTCCTTATCAGAGTGCCTGCACAAAGCGGGGGCGAAGAACATAAGGAAAAGGTGCCGAGGGCCTGTTCCCACTGTCCATGCTTGGCATAACAGCAACAATGGTGGTTCTTGATCCTGGAGTTCCAACTGTGGACCCAATGTGGGTTCACACACCACCAGCCTGAGCTTATGGATGAGAACACTGAAGGATACGGAGGCTAAGAAAGTTGCTCAAGTGGTATGTTTATATACTAAAATAGCACTTAAAAGTATCATTTTTTTAAAGTAAATTCATTTGACATTTATGAACACAGATACCAAAATTAGTTTGGGGAGGAAAAAAGTTGCAGGAAGTGTTGCAGGGTATGATGTGATCAGAGGTCACCGATAGCCATTCCAGTCAACCCCAATTTTCAAACAGGCGCAGTTTTTATTTCCCAGCCTCTCCTACAGCTAGATGTAGCCATGTGCCCAGTTATAGCCAATGAGATGTACGTAGAGGAGTTAAGGGAGATTTCTGGGAAGCTGGCTTAAAGGGGAAGGTTGTGCCCCTTTTCCTTTTCTTCTGATGGCCTGGAATGTAGACATGAGGGCTGGACACTGAGCAGCCGTCCCAGCCATGAGGTTATACAGTAAAAACGGAGGGGCAGGAAAGCAGACTGTTGGACCAACAGAAAAAGCTTACCCGTACAGGGGAGAAGACTGGGGCTTAGGGCAGTTCTGTAATCTGCTGTGAATATAAAAGGAACTGATATCTCCCATGGTGTCATCTCTAGGGTCCTAACGTTGGGTGTAGTGGCAGTTGGCATGGTGCAGATGCAGCAGAAACAGGAGGAAACCCAGCTCTTGACTTCAACATCACTAACACCCTTCCACAAACAACAAAATATAAGTCTTTTCATTATAAAAGTAAACCTACACATTCCAGACATTTTGGAAAATAAAGTAGAGCAAAGGGAAGGTTTCCTTGTTTTGCTTTAACGTAATTGTGGCACTAGTTCCTGCAATGACGCAGGCTGAACACGTCACAGGCATTTCCCCGTGATCATTAATTTTATTTTGCAACGGCTGTACACTCTTCCATCAAGTGTGTGGACAGTAGTGCCAACTGTGGGTCAGCAATCCTGATACGAATTTTTCACTGTTGTAAACAGGTGAATATCTTTGTGCATAAAGCTTTTTCCCAATGTCAAGTACTTTCCTCAGGATAGATTCCCAGAGGTGGGATTATCGGATTCAAGAATACAAAGACAAAAAAAGAAAAAGAAAAAAAAAGACAGAATGGAGAAGCAGCAGTTTGGACCAAACCTGAAACCTTGACACTGGAGGCGTGAGGTGCTGTGTAAATAAAGTACTTAGGGCAGTGCGTGGCACACAGGAAGAGGCTGGTGAGAGACTGGCTGAGGGCATTTCAACATTTCGGAGGAAGCAGATGCCAGTACTTACAGTGGCCAACCCCCATGGCTCCATAATGATTAGACACGGCAATGAGGTCGTACACATAAGGCCTTGCTGACAGGTCACACACAAACTCGGACATGTTCAGAGCTCTGAGCACAAAACACAAAAATGGCCTTTAATACATTAAACTCAGAGAAAGAAGTCAGAGTAACCCAGCAATCCCTTTTATGCAACAGGCTAGAACATAGGAAAGCACTCAAAAACTAACTGCAGAAGGAAGGAAGGGAACAGGCCACAGCGGCAGGGGACCCAGGGTCTTGTTCTGAGCACCAAGATGTTCAGGCTGGAGAGAAGTCGCCTGGCTAACTCTGGCCCCAGACCAGGCGAGGAAGGGCTCTATGCACAGACAGGAGGGCTGCAGCAACTATGTAGAAATGGCTGTCAGTATCCAAATTCTAGCTGGTGCCATAAAAATTTAAGCTAAATGCCAAAACAGGTCCCAGAAAACTTTTCCCCCCAATATTTTATTTTGAAAATTTCAAACATAAAGAAAAGTTGAACGAACTTTACAACAAATACTCATGTAGCTACCACCTAGGTTCTCCCACTGACACGTCTATACTTCATTGTCTATCTACCTCTAGTCCCACTACCCGGGAAACACTCTAAAATCTGCATTTCGTGGACAAACTCTTATTTGGTTGACTTATTTTCCTGCGTCAGTTATGCTCTGCATCCTGGGACCTGAGGACACTAGTAGACAGCCAGTCCCACTCTCTACCCGGGGACAGGACAGGACAGGAGGCTCTGCGTTCCCACCTGCAGCCCAATTTTCCTCAGCAGACTATGCTCCAGTTACTTTGTAGCCCTGTTAACGAGACTCGGCCCTGCATTTGTGCTGTCCAGCTTAGCCCAGGCTCCCTGGGACCAATGACGGATGGGATGACCAGTTCAGTCAGGCGGCAGCAATGATCAGCATCACCCTGAACCTGGGAAGCGCTTCTGTTGGAGAATCTTTTCCCCAAATGCGGGAGGATGGGGAGAGGGGGTGAGCCAAAGTCTAAGGGCCCAGACCCAAGCAAACATCCTAATGCAGAAAAGTCTTTGGTGGCAAAACCCTTAGCCAATCAGTGGCTAGGTTTCTCGCCTACTTTTTAATTTTCCTAAGAACACTCAGGACCCACCTGACGGGGAATTCCACAACGGTGTCGAGCTTATCCCTCCAGTATCTATTGTAGGAGAAACGTTTGAGGTGGACCACCAAGATCTTCGGCAAGGACCACAGGTCAAATTTCTTTGTGGCCTGTTGATGCTTCTTACAGTTGGGACAGTACCTGCAGAGAAAAGAGAAATCTCCACTTAGCGGGGGGCCAGGGAGCCAGGGCCACCTGGGCACCCAAGCATGAAGGCACAGCCACAATCCCCTAATGTCTTTTCTTGCACTCAGCACGGGCTGCTTCAGTGCAGCGTGTGTGTGTGTGTGTGTGTGTGTGTGTGTGTTTGTGTGTGTCTAAGCCACCTTCCTAAATAGGAAGATGGCTTTCTCAGTCTGGAAAACACAATTTGCACAGAAAGACTGTGATATAGGGACAGCCACGTCACAGCCATGTGATAAGAAGTGACACATCTCCTCCCAAAAGGGTTTTTGTGTACAGATGGCCCCAGCAGATCTCAGTCCAGGGTGCACGGGTGTCCCTGCCCAGAGTGGGGTGCCACGTACCAGGGGTCATGCTCCCCAAGGGTCTCCATGGTGGTGAAGAGCTCGATGCAGTCTCTCAGCGCCACCGCGGTCTTCTTCTTCTTCTGAGGCTGCAACATGCTCACGTGCTTCTCATAGGCCTGTGGGGGACAAAGTGCGGACTTCTGTTGGGAAATACGAGTCCTAACCCCATTAAGCCACAACCTCCCAAGCTCCCATCCCTGGAATATAATGCACTTTCTGGAGCCTCTGAACATATAATGACAAAATCTTTAAGTGCTTTCCATTCTCGATCCGAAGTAGAATTTGTCAAATTGCTGGGGAACTGGGGTGAGTGACCTGAATACACAGCCAGAGCAGAAGCCAGCATGTACCACTGACCAGGAGTCCCCAGTCACCTACCTCAGATTCTTGCTCATCATAATAAAGGCTCCGGGTCTCACTGTCCCAATCGATGGCCAGTGTGGATCGAGCTGTGGAGGAGGACCAACGTGTCACTTATAACTGAACAGCCAGCAACAGGAGAGGCTCTTCAGGTGACAGGAGTGACAAGAAAACACTCAGGCTTCATCATCAACACCTGCTCACCTATCACCAGCCACTGCCAAGAGCAATGCTTTGCCTTGAGCCAGCCTACTCTGAACCCCGGGACCCCCAAAACCTTTGGCAAAGATTTCCTCAATGTCACAGTAAGTTCCAAAGGCTCTAACTATATAAGGATACTGAAAGAACATAGATCAAGATGAAGTTACAGCAACCAGATTTACCCTCCCACCTTAACCCATGAGAAAACCTGACAAAATAATAAAGTGGTTTTGAAATGAGGGATATTAGGTGGAGCAAGCGTGCTATCCCCAAGGGGAGAAAAACAAAAAAGGTGATGCCTAGGGGCCCCTGGGTGGCTCAGTTGGTTAAGCATCCGGCTTCGGCTCAGGTCATGATCTCACGGTTCGCGAGTTCGAGCCCCACGTTGGGCCCTTTGCTGACAGCTCAGAGCCTGGAGCCTGCTTCGGATTCTGTGTCTCCCTGTCTCTGCCCCTCCCCTGGTTGCTCTCTCTCTCTCTCTCTCAAAAATAAATAAACATTAGAAAAAAAATTTTTAAAAAAGGAAAAAGATGATCCCTACACTGCCCAGCTCACTGCCCGCACTTTCCAGGCCACAGCTTGCGAGAGAGCGGGAAGGAGACGGAAAGATTGAAGGGGAGAGTCTAAGACTAGAATTCAAGAAGCTGGCTAGAATATGCAAGGCCTTGTACAAGAGGAGGCGGCCACACAGAGAGGAAGGAGCTGCAGGGACACAGAGAGAGAGATAGACACAGAGACCCAGAAACACATTGGTAAAGCTGTTCTTGAAACCAATTTTTTAAAGAAATGTAACAAAAAAGAAAGAGCGAAAGGACAGTGTGCTCATTTCTTTGCCAATGAAGGAGACACGGAGATGCTTCTAGGCAGGGGTCTTCACCGTCCTCTTGTGCTCTCCGTACATCCCGTGTAGGTGCCTCTTCTGTCTGCACATCAGCCCCCATTACAGGCTCCAGCTAACAAACAGCCTACACAACCCATGACCATGGGTCACATTTCATGAGTAGTCTTATGGAACAAAAGAAATCAGCATTTAGCCAGCCTCATTAAGTGACATGGCTCTGGCAAAATGCTGCCAGAGGTACGAGAAGTGTTAGCAACCCAGAGCGAAGGTCCTGAGGGTGGTGGCAGTGAAGGGAGAGCTCACTTCCATCCAAAGTCATCAAGAGCCAAAGAGAAAAGCCTGACAAGACGGCCAGGGCAGGAGGGGTGAGGTCTCTGAAACTAAGGAACTTTAAGCCAAGGACCACACAAACATCTGTTCCTGGAGCTACAGGAAGATGGCAAAAGCCCAGTGCAGTGAGTGCTGAGCGCAAACGGGATTTTCAAATGGATCCTAAGCCCCCAAATGCCCAGTTTGAAAAGTCAAAGAAAGTGCTTACAATTGAGTTTAAGTAGTTTTCCATCAGTTGCAAGGGAATTTATATCAGCTGTTCCGTAGGAGTTCACGAGGCTGAAGGTAAAAAGCCTTTTCGGGCAGGACTGGCCTTTGACCTTCTTTTGGGTGGTCTCCCCACAGTCATTTCCCAGCTCGTCCTCCCCACTGCCTTCTGTGTCTGAAAGTTGCTCTCTGCCTTCGTCCTGATGCTCCATTTCTTCTTCATCTTCTCCTGGCATACAATGAAAACCAATGTGTATATAAATTGCCACCATTTTGATGTTGAAAATTTTACTTCATGTTTAACTACAGTGCTTCCTTCCAGATTTTGTCCTGTTTGTGTGAAACTACACCTAGCCCTTCACAAGGTACCAAAATTCCTGTGTGACCCTCACAAGCTGGTTGAGACAGGCAAAGTGGGCACTGCTAATCTGTGATGAGGAAGCACAGGCCTAGGAAGACTCAGTGACACTCCCAAAGGTACACAATGTGGTCAGCAAGCCCACCTGTCCTAAATTTGGGCCCCTCAACACTTGAGTACTTTACTGGGTTTCGACCCACATCCTCTGACTCTTTCAACTTCATCACTTGACCCACAGAGAGAAAAGGGAAAAAACGAGAAGCCAAGAAGACAGTTTGGTTGAGAAATACAATTTAAAAGACAATTAAGGGGCACCTGGGTGGTTCAGTTGGTTAAGCGCCCAACTTTGGCTCAGGTCATGATTTCAGTTTGTGAGTTTGAGCCCCA